AAAAAAAAAAAAAAATTAGCCGGGCGAGGTGGTAAGCGCCTGTAGTCCCAGCTACTTGGGAGGCGGAGGCAGGAGAATGGCGTGAACCCGGGAGGCGGAGCTTGCAGTGAGCCGAGATTGCGCCACTGCACTCCAGTCTGGGCCACAGAGCAAGACTCTGTCTCGGGGAGGGGGAAAAAAGTTTAAAGTGTGATAGCAAGCCACTCTTCCCAGTTCTTGAGTCCCCTCCACCCCTTCCCCGTACCCACATGTCCTGGTAGGCTTTCTTCATGCCTTGGGCAGCAAGCTCCATGGTACGAAGGACTTCTGCATTGGTGGTGGCATTCTCAATGGCCTCACGCTGAAACTCCAGGGTGGATAAAGTCCCGTCAGTTTGTGCCAGCTGCTGTTCGAATCTTTTCTTCCTCCGCAAAGCCTGTAGGGCAGCTGACCCAGCCGATACCCTTAACATCAAGGGTCAGAAGCACCTGCTTCCCATCTGGGCCCTCCCCATAGGCTTGTTTCCCTCATTACCTCTCTTATTCTTGGTCCCATACTTCTTGGCTGTTTGTAGCTCCTGTTGAATCTTCTGCTCCAAAAATTCCTGTTTCTTGATCAGTATCTTCTCTGTCTCCTTCAGTTTCTGTATTGCTTCTTCAGGGGTTGGCCCTTTCTCCTTCTTACCTGAGGAGTCCAGTGGAGTAGGCCCAAATTTTGTGAAGAAAAAATATTAGCCACCAATCATTGAATACATAGTATGTGCTAGGGACCTGACTGTGTTATTGTTAATCCCCAAATCTCTACAATGAATGTGCTCTCTCTTCACTTAAAAATGTGAAAACAACCACAAAGATGTTAAAAATCACAATTAATAAGAGATTGTTCAGGAATCAAAATGTGGCAGTATGAGTTCTAAAACCAATATTCTTTTTACTATTCCTGGCTGCCTTTTTTTTTCTTTAGGCAAAGTTTCGGTCTTGTTGCCCAGGCTGGAATGCAATGGCGTGATCTTGGCTCACCTCAACCTCCGCCTCCTGGGTTCAAGCGATTCTCCTGCCTCAGCCTCCCAAATAGCTGGGATTACAGGCATGTGCCACCATGCCTGGCTAATTTTCTGTATTTTTAGTAGAGACAGGGTTTCTCCATGTTGGCCAGGCTGGTGTCAAACTCCCAACCTCAGGTGATCTACCTGCCTTGGCCTCCCAAAGTGCTGGGATTACAGGCGTGAGCCACCGTGCCAGGCCTTCTTTTTTTTGAGACGGAGTCTCGCTCTGTTGCCCAGGTCAGAGTGTAGTGGCATGATCTAGGCTCATTGCAACCTCCGCCTCCTGCGTTCAAGTGATTCTCCTGTGTCAGCCTCCCTGAGTAGCTGGGACTACGGGCACACATCACCATGCACACCTAATTTTTGTATTTTTTTTTTCTTTTGAGATGGAATCTCCCTCTGTCACCCAGGATGGAGTGCAGTGGCGCAATCTTGGCTCACTGCAACCTCTGCCTCCTGGGTTCAAGCAATTCTCCTTCCTCAGACTCCCTGAGTAGCTGGGACTACAGGTGCGCGCCACCACACCCAGCTAATTTCTTTTTTTTCTTTTTTTTTTTTTTGTATT